CGTGCAAGGGAGCAGCTCTGGGGAGATCTTGTGTCTCCAGAGGGGAGGGGGGGTGAGAGAGGAAGGTGTACCTGGATAAAGGCTGGGACTGGCTGCCTCCCTACTTTTGATGCTGCAAGGTACCCTCTGGTACCATGAAAGATAGTCTTCAGGGAGGAGTCTTACAGGTTGTTCCAGTTCAAGGAAAGCGCATTCTTGTTTCTGACATACATGCTATCTTCAGCAATAATGACTTACCTTCTACATAAAGAATGACTTCTGAAGGATTGAAAGGAGTCCTTTAACCTCTGATTGCATGATTAAGCATTTTGTATATAATACACACACATATATCATAATCTCAATCACTTTATATCTTCATATATATAATCGCAATTACTATATCTACCCTTAAATGCTTCTTCAGGATGTGTGTATGCACCTATGTATACACAAAAATGATACATAAAAATGTGTAGATTTTCATGCAGCATTTTTTGCTAGCTAAGCACAAATGTATTTACATTGTAATATATAAATATTTGTACAGTTAGCAAGGATAGCATTTCTAAAATTTATATTCAATAGCCATAAAAATTAAATAATATTGACCAATAAAATGATACAATTGCAAATCATAGCTTTAAAGGAAGTAATTTGAACATAGAAACACAAATACTACATAATTTATATGTGGCTTTTATAAACTCTCTATGGGTACAAGATCCATATACATGTGTGTATATGTATGACATATAAGGAAAATAAGATAAGGGGGGAAATGATAAGGAGAGGAAAAGAGTAAGCATAGACCAAGGACAGGTGTGAGAAATTATGTTGAAGAAACTGAATGCTATGTTCAGTGAATATACTAACATATAAAGTATAATCATATACTGAATATTATATATATCAAACATAATACATTATTCAATATGATGTGCTTTAATAGTTAAATAATATTACAAGTATGAAATGAAGTTGAGATGGGTATATTCTCAGTTAAACAAAATTACCTATACCCAGCTCATACATTGTATTATTTTTGTTTATTGAAAGTACCAATAGCCACAAGTATATTGAGATAGAGTCAATTAGTGCTATCTAGTGCTATGGGATGGGCATGGACGGAGAGTGTTGATTGAGGATGATAACTAATAAGATCTATATTGAAAACTAGTTACTGCTGACAGCTGCACAAATTTCAATGTGGTTTAAAACATAGAATTCAAATAGATGACTACATGACTAATGACTAGGGGAAGTCATATCTAAACCTCAGAGAAATACCGCTTTAGCCAGTTTGAGTGACTTTTATAAGAATATCACAAAATGTAATGAGTGCAACGTGTAGCTCTGAAGAAAATTAGACATTTAGAATGTAAAATAGAGAGCTCGCATGCATCAAAGAAGGAGCTTTCTCAAAACCACCTATTAGAACAAATAAACAAATGAATAATATTCCCTGGTAGCTAACTGAAGGGAAACGATATCAGCATATATAACCATTTGGACTCCACATTAATTGAAACGTTGCCCGCAAAAACCAGGGTATAGAATCAACCTGAATCGCCATGAATAGATAAATGCAGCATAGACAGAACAAAGCATTGCTCAGTCATAAGGAGCATTAAGTTCGGCCTGACACAGAGAATATTACTCTAAGTGAAATAAGTTAGACACAGGATACAAAACCTGTAGACATTCAGTTTTAAGAACATACAACCACTAAACTCATAGAAGTGTCTGATGGGGGAGTGATTGACAAAGACCTAGGCAAGCACGGAGGGAAATGAGGAGTTGTTTCAAGACATGGAAAAATGTTACAGCCAAACAGAAAAACATCTTTGAATGTTCTTACGCACAACAATGGGGCAACTATAATTTAAAATCTGCATTTTGTCAAAAGGAAAACATAATTTTGAAAGTGCTTGATTGTAAATGTAATATAAAATCTTAAAATAAGAGATAAAAGTGCTAATTCCTGTAAGCTGATCATATGTACATGAATCAAAATATCACATTTTACTTCTTAAGGGTACATGGATGTTTTGAATCAAACATAAAATTAGCAAAGAATAACTTAAATTTTAAAACACTAATTGTTTTATTAAAGAAAATTTATAAAGTTTTAAATACAAGAAAGTGGAGGATATATTTAGCATTCCTTTGCATATCTGTGGCACTGCTAGATTTTAATACTAAGGTTTTCCTTTCTCTTATTTCACAAGTGTTAATGTTCCTTGTGTAACCTAATTTAATATTATGAACTATAAAGCACTTTTTTCATCTAAGAAATGTTTTTGATAGAATACATTGTTTTAATATTCCTTCAACTAAACAGTTTTTAAATTGTCCAGCCAGTTAATTAATGTTGAGTCTTCAGTGATTGGCTCTTTGCAATCGCTATTGTAGCAGTCCTAAAACTATAGCTCTTTCACTGAAAGTTATCTGACACTGTAGTCGATTTTTAATAAAATTGGTTCACTGGATCTTTTTTGTTGCTGTTTTTAATTCATTTTTAGAGTGCCTATTGGTTTTAGTTGATTTGGGATTGCTGTGTAACTGCATGCCTGACACTGGGACTTGTTTCCTCTGCATATACTGGATTTTTTGGAATCCACTCTCTTTGGATACTCACCTTCCTGGACCTGGAGGGAGGGGGGAGGAACTTGAACTTCCCACAGGGCAGGAAACCCTGACTACTCTTAGGGATGGAGAGGGAGGAGGAGAGGGAGTGGGGGGAGTGGGAGGGTGTTGGGAGGGGGCGGAAATGAAAACTTTTATAATTTAATAAACTTTGAAAAAAAAGAAATAATTTAAGAGAGAGGTTTGGCTTATAGTTTAGGACATAGTTTATCATAAGAAAAAGGAAGGCTCTTTCCTTTCTGCCACCGCCATGCCATCCAGACTGAGGAAGACCCGGAAACTCCGGGGCCACGTGATCCACGGCCATGGCCGCATTGGTAAACATCGCAAGCATCCAGGAGGATGCGGGAACGCTGGAGGTATGCATCATCATAGGATCAACTTCGACAAATATCATCCAGGTTACTTCGGGAAAGCTGGTATGAGGCATTACCACTTAAAGAGGAACCAGAGCTTCTGCCCGACTGTCAACCTGGATAAACTGTGGACGCTGGTCAGTGAGCAGACCCGGGTTAACGCAGCCAAGAACAAGACTGGAGTTGCTCCCGTCATTGACGTCGTGCGATCGGGCTACTACAAAGTTCTGGGCAAGGGAAAGCTCCCTAAGCAGCCTGTCATCGTGAAAGCCAAATTTTTCAGCAGAAGAGCTGAAGAGAAGATAAAGGGTATTGGAGGTGCCTGTGTTCTGGTGGTTTGAAGCCACTCAGGGAGGACAATTAAATGCTAACATTTTCCAAAAAAAAAAAAAAAAGAAAAAGAAAAAGAAAAAGGAGGAATAGTAGAAGTGTGAGCTGGTTGAACTCATCACATCTGCAGTCAGGAAGCAGAGTCAGAAATGTAAGTGGCACTTAGATGTAAACCTCAAGGACAGCTATCATCTGGGAACCAAATATTTAAACACATGAGCCTATGGGAACATTTCACATAGAAATCAAAATGTTCTACCTCTCAATAACATAGACTAATAAATAGCTCTCTCGTAATTCACCATGAGTCGATTCCCAACACGACTCAGTAGTTATCTTTCCAAGTCTTTTCTGAAATGCAAAGCAATTTCTTAGCTTCTAGGCCATGGAAATTTAAGAAATAAGTTACAAAATTCAAGTACCCGATAGCACAGAATACATAATCTTTTCCAAAAGTGAGGAACAGAGATATAGCAAAGATCAAATATAGTCAGATGGAGTCTAAAGAGGTCAAATACCAAATTCTGCATCTCTGTCCAGCATCAATGTATCAGTATAGAATCTACTGGGCTCCAGTGATCTTAGGCTGCCCCACAGCCTGCTGTATTGCCTACATGACATATGATTCATCTCTTAGGCCCATGCCATTACAAGCCTTTAACTTTCTTAAGGTGATATCACATAGTTCTACTGTCCAAGAGTTATGTTTAATTTCCCAAGCTTCGTGAAATGGCTTCTAGGAATTTAACTCTGCCACATATTAACTGGTTTGGGGAACTTTCAGAAAACTTATCATTAGTTTCCATTGCCCAAATGCTCCTTCATGGTTGCATACCTAGCTAGTACCATGTAGAAAAGGCTGTCAAGCTCCATTGAAAGTTTGAAACAACCTGGCTCTTTTGGAACACAATTGCAGCAACCTTATACCTGAATGAGACATTTGCCTAGCAACTATTTGGGCTCTGGTAACCTGTTCATTGTAGGCTCACTTCTTTAAAGGTTATATTTGAATTTACACAAATTGGACCATTCAACCCTAGGTCTCTGCTTCTCTTGGGACCTTTCCTTCTCTGTTAATTGTGGAGAAGTAAGAGTTTTGCTTTCAATGTACCAGTATTGTTGAGAATTTCAACTCTTGGTCTGCACCGGCCTTTCTTGAAACTTTAAACACACTCATGCTTGCATTCCTTTCTTCATCAAACTCTCTAATTTTTTCTCATATTTCTGCTCCATGTTTCCACATGTTCTCTCTCTCTCTCTCTCTCTCTCTCTCTCTCTCTGTGTGTGTGTGTGTGTGCGTGCGTGTGTGTGTGTGTGTGTGTGTGTGTGTGTATAAGAACAGTGAGAATTAACTATGACACACCCTAACGGTAACAGTCTTGAGATTTCCTTTGCCAAACAAATCCATCCAGTACTTCTAATTTTAGCCCAGCGGAAGGTCTCAAGACTTGACAGAGTGCCGCCAGATTCTTTGGGCAGAATATAATACAAACAGCCTCCGAACTCTCCATCATCCCTTCTGCAAACTAGTTCCAAATGCCTAAATGCCATGCATGTGGACAGGTTTATCAAAGATGTCCACTTCCAGCTTCAATTTTCAGTAGCATTATTTTTCTCATTGCTACGATCAAGAAGCAGCTTAGTCAAAGTGCCAAAAACTAAACATTTGTGATTTTAAAGAGTCTTTTTCATGTATCAAATTCTTTAATGAGAAAACTAGAATTTTCAGAGCAGAGTCATATTTATTATATAAATTCCTTCATTTTTTTGCAAATGTGTCATAGAATATAAAGTATATATTGCTTGATTATTTGTTATTACTTCTTCAAATCTCATTCACTAACTTTTATTTATTAGATTCCATTTCATTTTAGAAGAATAAAGTGACGTAAGAGACGGAAGAGATAGCTCAGATGGTGAAGTGCCTGCAACATGAACATAAAGACCTAAGTTTGGATTTTCAGCACCCATATAGAAATCAATCCAAGAAACTAGAGTTGGGGAGAGACAGGTTTGCTCATTAGCTAGCTGGTAGAGTCAAAGCAATCACTTCTATGTTGGGAGAGAGACTCCATCTTGAAAATTCATGAGAGAACTAATGGAACACAGTTCTGGCTCAGACATATCTGCACTCATACATGTACATAAATTAACACATGTCAAAGAAAACCTGCACACACCCTCACAAAAGCACTATATATCTACATACAGAGAGAAACATTATAAAGGATGAAGGGTTTGCTGTTAGTTTGAGGGCAGGCAGCCCATCATGGTGTCACGAGTATGATAGCAGGAATTTGAGTTAATAGATCACATATCTGCAATCAGGGAACTCAGATGTGTAAGGAGGTGGTGCCAGTACAAGAAATAACAAGCCTCATCCCAGTGGTCTGGTAGGGTCCATCTCAAAAGACCTAGCACCTCAATCACATGAGTCTATAGAGAACATTTAACATTCAAACCACCATGTTATGTAATTATTTCCAGAGGTCTCTTCACTCTCATTTGGCATTTCACAAGTGGCAAACTAGTTTATAAAAGTTCATTTTGCCTCACACGTGTTATAAGCTATTTGTGCAAGATTTCTTCAGGTATGAAAGCATAGTTTGACAGAATCAATTAAAGACCTCTCAGTCAAAACTATGGTATCCAATAGTGAAGATACAATGATGTGTGCAATGCAATTTCCCTCCGTGTAGACAGGGTTTGCTTCTTTTTGGAGAAGCTACTGCTCATTGTCTCACTTCAATCATTAAAATCTATCCAATTCTAGTTTCCCATAAGTTCTTTTTTAAAAAAAAGATATCAAATCCAGAAATATATTTCAAAAAAATGTCAATAATTTAGACTCCATAAATATGTCCTTGAAATATGGTCCAATTAATAGTTATCAATCAAACAACTGTTACTAACTAGCTGAGACTCTTTCAGCTAGCTGAGGTACTTTCAAAAAACAGCAGTAATTCTATGCCCTTTCCTCTATTTGAATGACAGAAGACAGAAGTCTCACTTTTGCTTGAATACAGATTTCTCTCAAGCTGTGTTACATTTTAGCTGTTGCCGGGAAACAGCACATAGCAGCCACACTGTAATTTCTGGGTTCTCATTTTGAGATTAGTTTATAATTCCTTTTGTTTACTTTTAGATACAATAATATCTTTAGCATGTTTATGAAAACAGTTACTACACAACCACGAACAGTATGATGTACTATAAGAAACTATAACGATATATTTATTTTGATATTTTATCTTACATGTTTATATTGGTGCTATGGTTTCAATTTAATAACTCAAAAACATCTTTTTAAAAAAAATGTTCTCCAAGATAAGATTTTAGGTTGTTTTGCTAAACAAATAAAACATTTTTGAGTACTTCTGACTATCTCGACAATATTGAATTTCATTACAAATTTCCACAGTTTCCCAAAATATTATTACCAGTTTTGGATGAACTGTTCAAAATATGAACCTACGCTTCCACATTTAATATTAAAATCATAACATTCCTATGAAATGAGAGCAATTTCTTCAGATAATGATACATCCTGAAGGAAACATTGTGAGCTCTGACTCTCTATCCTGTGTGTCATTTTCCTAGATTACATTTATCAGTGTCTGCAACGGGAAAGGCCTTTCTTTCTCATTACGTTCATGATGTTCCTGATTATTTGAGAAAATAAAAAATGTTACTATTAAAATGGTAAATAGGATGACATTCTAAGTCATGGATCTTTAAAACAACAATATAGGCGAAATTAGGTAAAATTGAATTTAGAAATGGACTTTTAGGCATAATACCTCAAGCATGTTTCATGAGAGAAAAGAATGATGGGATAGATATCAACTAAATTAAAATGCAATTTTGAAAACTACTGTTTAAAAATGAAAGTAGGGGGATGAATAAACAATCCAGTGTTTTAGAATACTTAACGCCTCTTGTAGAGGACCCATATTTGATCCCCATCACCCACTTAGGTTAGCTCACGATCACCTATAACTATTGTTCCATAGGATCTAGAGTCCTCTAAGGCCTCTGTGAGCACTTTATACACATGGTGGATATATAGGCAAGTACACTTGTGTACACACACCTGGGCACACACAAACACACAAATTAATAGAACTAAATTTTAAATAAGATGAAAGTAGAAGCCACACATAAGGAGAAAATAATTAGCAAACAAGTGTTAGATAAGACAAAAGACTTGTGTTCAATGTATAGAAAGACTACTTAAAACTCAACAGCAAAACAAAAATGGCCAAAATAAAGCAGGGAAGATATTCTAACTATACAGTTAAACATATAAAGAAACAATGTTTCAAGGAATATATAAAATAGATGCTCCAAGTTATGTCATTACGATAAAATTTGACAAAATTCCAAAGAGGAAAAATTCCAACTGAGGATTTGAAGGCAAGAAAATGTTCTCACTGCAGCATAGCTACAAAGATATAGTTATGTCAAAAGATATTTTATATAAATTGCTAAGCACAATCTAAATCTTGCAATATGTTCCAGAAATTTAAGTTTTAGTAACGAGCTATCACAAGCCTTACCAATGGATGTTTTTTACATAAAGCTTTCACACACTTTCCAACACCTAGAAGTTAGTAAGAGTATTTTCAGCTGAACAATTCATAAAAGAGAAAACAACTTTTAAAGAACTGTATCCTGTAATGTTATTCACCAATTATAAAAGAAATGGAATAGCAAGCTACTACCAATACCAAGAAGGCTTAAATGAGCATTAGATAACAGATACTCATCTAAAGGGTGCCTACTATATGATTCCACCTATGCGACAGGCTTAAAAGGGAAAGACGTATATAAATAGCAAAAAAAAAAATAAATAAAACCAACCAGAGTTTAACACGACTTGTGAGTAGAAAAGAGCGATCAACAAATAAAGAGTGGTCATGGGGGAGTTTGAAAACAGTGTGATTACGTTGTATGATACTATAAGAGAAGATGTGTGGTGCTATGCATTTGGGGAACTTAGAAGTCTGAA